AGAAATTAACTAAATTCGAAGGCAAAAAAGACAGTAGGGGCCCGTTTCTCAAGGATGGTTTACAATTTATTTGCCATTTAAACAATTTTTTTTTTTTTTAATTCTCATTCCCATTAACTCAACCCGGAAAGACGCAAGGATAAGTATGTCTATATCTATGCAACGGCAGATATTCGGTCGATATTCAAAGCAGCGTTAGAGACAAAAGTGCAGCAGCCAAAAGTGTTCTGAGACTTAGGGTGGCAAACAGGCTGTGAACAACTTGAAAGGGTGATGTTTCTTTGATTGATTCTGAGCGGAGTTTGGGAGGAGTATGGAAGCTGCCTTTATCAAATCAGCCGCAACTTCGAACCCCATTTACTTACCTGATAAAAGTGACTCATTCTAAACTACAGCGAAATCCCGATCATAGCAGATGGGAACCATTGATGGACCTTCGAAAGAGTTCTATATACTCGCGGGTTACTGCAACATAAGTAATTGTGCAACTGGCATGGATGCAAAACTGGTAAGCATGATAGACCTAACACCATTTAAACTTGCCTTCGCTGTGAACAGTCAAGCTGGATTTAAAGCCCTGGGACCGGTAATGACTAACTCGATATATGTTTAGCAATGCCAAAGATCCCTAGAACCTCTGCGACGGCACATAGTCAATTTTTACTGGATCCCGGAACACATTAGATTTCTGGGAAGTCACGAGTACGCGATTTGCCTTAGTAATATACACCGATTTCAGTAAAGCTTTTGAAAAAGTATGTCACTCGTTACTCATCGATAAACTTGACCTAAGCGACTTTCAGCCCAGCCTTTTTCAATGGATCTCTTCTTACCTCTCTGATAGTGAACACAAAGAGTTATTTTTAATAATTGTTCTTCCAACATCATTACAGGTTCTTCAGGAGTTCCTCAGGGAAGCCACCTTGGTCCTGATATTTATGATATTTTTTCTATAATAAAACAATAAAAAATTTTAATGTATGCCAATGATGTGAAACTTTTTAAAACATTGTACTCTATCGAAGAAAGGTCTTTGTTAGAAGCGGATCCGAGCAAAGTGGTTACTTGGTGTAATGCCAACTAAATGCCACTAAACCTTAAAAAAATGTAAAGTTATGTGTTTCTCTCGGAAGGCTATTCAACCTGGCTGTGTATTCAATACCAAATTATAATCTGGAGCAGGTATCCAATTTTGTCGATTTTGGTATCACAATGGATTCCAAACTCAGTTTCAACCTTCATATTAATGTTACAGTCAATAAAGCCAAAGGCGTCCGTTGTTTATGTCAGGATTTTAACTCTCATTGCAGCACGTTTGACATATCGGACTCGATTTTTACTATAAAGAGAACTATCATTCCCACTCTCAATAATGGAATACTATCGTTAGCATATCCAATCAGCTGATGAATTTGATTCTGTAGCTGAATAGTTTTAGATCTCGACACTTAACAACTCACTACTACTAATCAGCACCAAACACCAAAACAAAAAAAAGTTCCGTACGTCATGCGGACTGCGTCCCTCGTGTCGGTTGGGCGGGAATGGAGGGTAAACACCCGTTTGGATTAATTAATTAATTAATTCGGATGCGGAAGAGATAGAAACTATCTAGTAATTCTTATGCCAGTGCCTAGCACTTTAGAGACAACGACTCAAAATTCTAGGGAAAACTATATTATCTTAGTTGCAATAGGGAATATATTTTCATTGATATAAATCTTGGCATGTACATATGTACATACGTACATATGTAAGTATGCAGTTAATCTTACAAAACTATTTGTACCGGATATTTAATAGATATTGTTGGCCATTAATAATAAATGAAATAGCTACGTATGAGAGACAATTGATTAGCGGTGAGCAAAACAAATTAACTAAAGCAGCAGTAGCTACTTTAAGTATTTATGACTAAATAAATAAAAAACAATCAGTAAAATGAAAGCGTTTCCATTTGTGAAGTAGGTCAAAGGAAATACGAATTTAAGGGATGACTAGCATAATTTATACTACGACAACCTTAAGATTTGTTATATAAAATAAAATACACAGTCTAACCAATTAAGATTAGCAGTATATCCTGCTGATTTTTGCTGAGCAAAATCATAGCCCATTATGCCCAAGTTCTTGTTTCATTTGCAAAAGAATGTTACGCATACGCTATGTACACTCTTTCCTGCACATTTTTCATACAAAAAAATTCCCGCTTATTTTAATTACTGGTCAGACTTTAACGAAAAGAAAAAAAAATATACGGAAGCTGTTATTTTTTCCCCTGTTAACGTTTTTTTTTTTTTTTAATTTACTTATAAAAAAAAATAAAAATCTGCAATGATTAATTAATTTCTCAGAAACCAGCACACCTATCGACAATAAATGTATACACGGTTTATGGACCATTTTGGTTAGCTTTCCTTTGACATACTTCATATTAAGATTATTCAAGTGCTTTATAAGATATACGTGATTAAGCGGAACCCCTTTTTTAAATTGAATAACGGTAAATTGCAAATATGTCGAAAATTTATTCATTGGAAAAAAAATTAGCTCGATTTTCGGAATTATCGATTAATTCTACATAGGAATTAGATAGTTCCACCTATGGCACTGTAAACCAGTGTATTTAGCTATCAATTGGCATGCTCTAGGCCAGGCATGCCCAACGCCGGCAGAGTGCTATAGGCAAGCGCCCTGCGCTGGGCATGCCTGCTCTGGCAATCTTTCATTGGGGTAGTTCTAGAATAGCTTGGCTGGTGGTCGTTTTAATCAGAGACCATAACGATCATGGACAATGTAAATCATTTTCATCATCTCATAATAATTATATGGGAATTTTATTTTTTCGTCTCTCGTGACATTTATTTCAATACGAATATGATTTAAGTCTTATCATAATAATTATATGGGATTTTTATTTTTTTTTCGTCTATCGGGACGTTTATTTCGGCCGATAAGACTCCCCTTTGTTAGCAGCTTACTCCAGTGGGACCACTTTCTGCCGGGTTTTCAGACATCGCAAATGGTAGGAGCGGCCACTGATATCTTGAGGGTCTTGGTTAGGTGGAGTACTCCTTGCATTTCTTTCTTATAATGGTTGGCGTTCAATACGTTTTGCCTAAACCATTTGGCGACTGTGTCCAGTGGAGTGGTAGATTTGAGATGGTGTTTCCAAACTACATAGCCCTAAACATCGACATCCTTGTCACTTTAATACGATGAACCACAATCGCGGAAACACTTAGGACTTGCAGGTCCATAGTGATACCACTGTGAAACCACGGGAACCTCAGTGACTATTCTTCATATAACTATTTTGAAGCTCTTACGAAGCGTATTATTGGTTTCATTCCTACGTAGGATATGGACCTAAAAAGCTCTTGGCCAAAGATAGATAGCTACATAAAAGCGATGAACTGTTTCTTCATTTTCCTCATCTATGCACAATCTCCGTTCGGAGTCGGCGTAACACTGTAGGTCCCTCCGCTTTGTGTGACAACATCAGGGCGCACGCCACAAATCGGAGGCCATGGGTATCCCAATTTCGGCTCTGTGGAAAATCGGTACCTTTCCTGGCTAGCTCATCGGCCCTGCAATTTCCTGGAATATCTCTAAGTCCCTGGACCCATATGAGGCTAACCTTAAAAACGGTGCTAATATCATTTATAGCTGACCGGAATTCCAGTTCCTAATTCCTTAGAGAAAACTCCGAGCTTATTATCTAGCTTGGATCCATCCGTGCAAAAATTTGGTTCCCTCCTTCTCCATGGTCTTGGTGCTTGCAACTCTCTTCTCGACGTGATGTTCGTCTTAAAGAGCTTGTTGAAGATGGGTTTAGAGGCAGAGTGGTAGATTTTTTAGTTATAACTACCCAGTGGGAAGTATAGAAGCGCGGTCAAAACCGCCGGTCCTTCCACAGCGCCATACTTTTCTAAGCAACGAAGCAGCGGTCACGTCTTTTCCTACCAGATTTACAGCTGGCGATTTGGCTAGAACCACCAGCGCTTGGTTTGGGGTGGTCCTTAGAACAATGGAAATACATAAAACACTGGTCTTTGGACCATACTCGGGAGAATGGTCACCATACAATTAATACGAGGTGTTAACCCCTAATTTGATTCCGACCGCCTTTTTGCATGCGTATAATGCAACGTTGACCTTCTTAACTCTTTCCTCTATATTTGGGTTTCCACATAAGCTTCCCATCTTATATGACTCCTAGGTATTTGACATTCTCTTTCAAAGGAATCTCCACACCCTTGAAGATTGGGGTAGACCGCAAGAAGTCTATGTTTCCTTGTAAAGAGAATTACCTCGACTTTGTCGCGGTTTATTCCGAGGCGGCATATGGTTAACGTCCTTCCATTTACGCCGCACTATTGTGTAACATATCTCTAGGCGTTAGAAGCGAGCAAAAGCAAAGAGCTGCAACAATTGAAATTGTATTTTTAGTACGCTGCATTGATATGCAATTTTTATACGCATTTTTTTTTCAGTAACGGCACAGTAGGCTGAGCAAATATATTCAGCTAAATAAACTCACACATACATACAAAATTTATTTATAAGATTTTCTCAAACGTTATACGCTCAGGGATCTCCTACGGCATAACGCGATAATTGCTTTGCCATTAGGCCTCTGTTGCTGCCGTTGCCTCCGTCTCTGCCTTTGCCACACCACCACTGCAGCCGGTTAGAGGACATGGCATTGTATAAGCATGGCCTTCGCAACGATATGATATGGGCATAAAACTGATGATGATGCAGAGATGTTGAATGTGAAAATGTAGAAAAAAATCAATTATTTTCTTCACTTGTTGTGCGCATATACACAGAAACACTGCGCTTTGTATTTAGATAAGCATATGTGTATGTATGTAAAGGGGTATATTTTTTAATTAAGCCATTTTTTCTAAGCTAAAAAATCAATTGCAGAACGTATTAAGCTGTGCGCTCATCCCTATTGCCCTGCTACATTTCTGTATATAAATCGCACTCACCCAGGCAGCAATGGCAAATAGGATGTGGTGGAATCCAAGGTGCGAATGGCCGTATTGCCGCGTAGCACCAGCTTTTCGCGTGTAATGCGTCGATATGTTTCCTCACCGCGTAACTTTGAAGACATTTTCTTGGATTATTTTTGCACACTTTTCACGGTAATGTTTACGAGATCTCCATTTAAGGTACAAATTTGCTGTGTATATTCTGAATTTGCCTAATTTTTTAGTTCACACTTATTTTTTTTTTTTTGTTGCACCTAGTAGGTACATTATATGCGTGGATTATAAATTTTTAAACACATAAATTATTTATGTATGTACATATTTTATTACTATTTATAATTTTAAATCTATGCGCTTATGTCCTATAACCCACGAATCGCCTGCAACACTGTGGCTCTGCATTTTCACCATCAACCGAAAAGCCACTCGCGGGCAACGTATCTACCTACAATACATACGAGTACATATATCCATATCTGACTGAGTATTTGGGCTCTTGGCCAAAACAAACAATTCAACTACACTTCGGATGCGGATGCTGTGTGCGACGAAGGCGGTTTGGTTGGTTGCCTGCCGGCTGTGCGAAGAAAAACTGAAGCAGAGTAAAAGCAAAATAACGGCAAAACGGTGGCGTTAATGCGCAGGCCTTTTCAACCGCATAATTTGCACTCAAATTTTACACTTTGCTCATTGCGATTTTAGATTTTTTAACCACATTTTACAGTCTCTTTTTACTTAATTTTGCTAATATGCCATTAAAGTGAAATCAAATTAAAAAAAATTATCTTTCTTGTTTGTGCAATTTTTGCTTTGTTGCACCGCGGCACGTGTCGTTGGCAACTGCTGCAGTATGTCGCAATTCAAGGATTTTTTTACTGACCAAACCAGTCGAAAAGGCGAAACTCCTTTGGTCAATATTTAGCTATGTATGTGTATATACTAGAGCGCCTCACAAAAAAAAAAAAAAAATCGCGGGTTTTCCATCCGAATTATAAAATGTATCATATTTTAAAGGCTGGTTTTCACTATATCATATTTTGACACAACTTTTTATCTCCCTTATCTCTTCCTTTGCCGATTATATTATAAGCCAAAAACGGACAGTTTGTGGTTTTGCAGCGCATGTACTGAACTGAAGACCTATTCTGATCTAAATTAATCTATAGAACGTTTTTTAGTCTCATTTTACAACCTGTTTTCACTTTTTTGACGACAAATGCCATTAAATTTGACATAGTGAAAACCAGTTTTAAGGCTTCCATCAAAATATTACAGAAAAATATTAAGATTTACGTAGACAGGACCGATTTGAAAATACCTCCAAAAATCGCGTTATTTTGATTTCGTTGATAAAGCTCTTAAACAGTTTTATAAGGTCTACTGAACTCTTAGAGTTGATTTTTTGGAAAAAATAAAATAAAACTAAATTTATTTATAGTAAAAAACTTGTTTTTTGAGATGCTTATATTAAAATCGGTCCAACGTACATAAATCTTGATATTTTTCTGTAACACTTTGGCGGAAGTCTCAAAATATAATAGATTTTATAATTCCAACGGGAAAACAGTACCGATTTTTCTTTTGTATGGAAAGTGATGCACCCTAATGTGTATGATTATATTCATATTTATTTACATACATACAAGTACACGACCGTAGGGTTGCAAATGCCATTTAGTTCGGTTTGTTTTTGTTTTCTCAATCAAATTGACCACTGCTCACTCACTGGTCAGTCAGTCAGTTAATGGCAAAATGTGGCGAAGCGTTGCGGCGGGTTAGCGGCGTTTGTTGGTGTTGGTCGCCTGGCTCAATCGTCAGTCTGGCGCATTATGTCATTTGGTTCTAGAGAGGGGTTTTGTTGCATGTTTAGATAAACCTCCACAGTGCGTAACGAAAGTTTAAGTACGTACATAAGTTTTAGTTGATCATACTTTTTTTAAAGCCATAATGTCAAATAATGTGGCGGACAAATAAATCGGTATGCGATATTTTAACAACTTTTGGCTATTTTTCTTTTTTTTAATGTTTATTATTTTTTTTATAAAAGTAAAGGTCATTTGTCTACTAAACCTCATGTGAGTCCAAATTTCAAACTTTGTACTCAAATTAAGAAACATCAACAAAATTTTAAACTTTTTTAAAACAATTTTTAGAAAAAATTCTATTATGCTGTTTTAAGGAAGAAAATGCACAAGATCAAAAACTTGTTAAAATGTCGCGTCTCTATCAATTTTTCCGTCACTGCATTTCGTTTCTTGAAGAAAAATGGGAAAGGGAATCGTAATGATATCGGTAATGGGAATGATATCGGTAATGGTTGTGCTAATGGTAATGTTACCGGTTATGTTGATGGTAATGGTAAGGTAAGGGTAGGTTGGCTGCCTCCATTATGGAAGCGCACTTAGCTTTAGTATGTTGAAGTGAATCCACCAAATTATCCTTCATACAACTGCTGCAGTATGGACTTAAGGTGTTGTTGAGCCTTACGACATAAATTTCAATAAGACAATGTCCAGTTAGAACTATTACCAATAAAGTGATATGTATCTTGTTCAGTTTTAACAGCTACCTTCTCCGACGCAGGTAAACACGTGGCCGCAATGAGCTAGCCTCCTAAGATTTCAAGGTTTTCGCCCAGAGAAGGCTGAGCTAGCTGAGAACCTATCTGTCCAGCAGTAAACCACATGTTCCTCAATAGTGTCCTGTCTTACTTGGAATTTGGTGGAGAGTTCCTCAAAGAAGATTCATTTGGCTAACTTTCCTTCCGTGAATAAGTTCACAGGGCCATGCTTGCAGATACTTCCTAGACGGTATGTGGATGTTGAATGATCTAATCGGACCCAAAATCTATATATAGTGACCGGGCAAGGATGAACTCAAAGTTTCCTAGAATTTCGGGCTGCCCAGAGCTGGGAGAGAACATAAAGCCCAAGCCTCTTGGCATGGTTGAGGAGAGCGAAATGACAGTTTTGCCTGCACGCGAGTAGGGGTGCTCCGAAGTGCTGTTTAACGATAGTGAACTTCTGGAGTGCGTTTCAATACACAAGACTATAAAACCAAATTGGTATATTACGGTATCGTCGAGCCACTAAACTACCCTTGACGAGAGGAATTTACGCTTGTCAATGAACTATCCCTTATCTACAACAATAAAAGGCTTTCGGTGACTTCCTTATCGCTTTCTCGATATGCCTAAAGGGAAGCCATTCAAAGAGCATTAAGGAAATCTGTCAATTGAGTTAGGTTGAAAAGTTGGGTTAGGGTTTATGACTTAGCCGCAAGTAATGGGGCAGCTTTGTAGCAAGGCCGCGTATCTCTATGTAATCACGTACGGGGTATCTAAGAACCTCCCACGGACTATCAGTTCTATGTCATCAACATTGGAAGTCAACTGGCAGCAATTTTTCTCCAATTCTAATTCGCTAAAGCCGTGGTTGAAGGATACTGACGAGAATTGAACTCAAATTTTGCCAAAGCCCGAAATTCGTACAGAGCATTCCGAACTGCTTCTTGATCGTTCCCACAACTTCTGAAGTAGGTAATTTCTACTGGGTGGAAAGTCATCGGTGCTCAGTAAAGACTGTGATAAATCTTGCCACGTTTCCACAAATGTATTCCTACACTACTGGAATGGTTCAATTTGTTTTTGCTAAGCTTTGTCAACACCGCAGCGTTCTATGAAAGCTTAATGGAAATATTGTATGTTGTTACAGTAATAAGTCTTGCCTTGTCTTCAGGCTTGTGCTTCAGTAATACATTTTAACGTTCCGTCGTAGTTGCTCCAACTTATTGACTTTCTTTGGCCTTGGACTTACCCTCTATTTACAGTCATCAAGGTACCCCCGTATCAGTCGCATTTAGAGTAATGAGTAATGTCAAGTAAAGACGTCTTAAACTTTAATCTAACAAATATTTCCCAATTTCTTCTCTACAAGCACGGGATTGACTGAATGATAGTATAATTGTGTCTGAGCTGATAGTCGGGTCTACGTAACCAGAAGGACCCAGATTTATATCAGGCCAAGAACTGCCACTCCAGCAACACTCCCCAACTGAGATCTGGTGGGTAAGTTAAGATTCGACTGTAAATGCCGAAGATATGACGTAAAATGTAAAGAGGCGATACCTACGTTCGGCCAAAAAAAATATGTTTTTTTTTCCAAATTTTCTTGCAAAAATACTTTAGTCTCAGGAGTGTACGCCGAACTTTTTTTTTATCTTACGGTCTAATGTACACATGTCCGTATTTATTTATTTCTTTTTCTAGCATTCATTCTTGTACTTATACAAAGGTATTAGATAACGGTTTATGTATATAAGTATTTGTTACCAAGTGCGAAACGAAAATTGATGAAATACAAATAATATTGATTCCTTAATTATTCATGTTTTATGGCATTGATCCAATTTCGCACCTCATCCCAAATGTGTTAAATGCGAATGACTTGTAAATAACTTGAAGCGTTTTTGTGTTAAGCAAACAAATGTATGATTGTACATTAGGGTGCATCACTCCTCATATAAGTATTTTTCCAACGGAATTTTAAAATTAATTTTGTTTTAAGATTTCATCCAAAATATTTTGGAAATATACAAAGATTTACATGAGCCGGACCGTTTTAAAAACAGCTCCAAAAAGTTCCTTATTTTGATTCCGTTGATAACATTTTTTAATCAGTTTTATGCGGCTTTTAAGCTTGAACTATTCTATCATCGAAGTGATTTTTTTGAGATTTTTTTAACATTTATTTTTATTTATAAAAACCCCGAATTTTGGAGGCATTTTAAAATCGGTCCAGCTCACGTAAATCTTCACATTTTTCCGAAATATTTTGGCAAAAGGCTTAAAATATAATACATTTTTTGATTCCGGTGGAAAACCCGCAACAGTTTTTGGTGAGGCACCCTAATGTACTTACGTATTTCATTTTATTCACTGACAAAATCATAGACAATGATACATTTGCTGGGGCTTTCATTTTGGTGAACAAACTCATAACCAACCTTAGTTTTCCACCGCTCATTGTGAATTGGAAATACATTCGAGATGGGTTCGAAAAAAATGAAAACCATAGTAACAAGGGAGGAAGTGAAATCCAGCTAATTTTCGAAGGGAAATATAAGGCAATCACTCTCTCTCATTAAAATTTCATTTCGATAATGGGCTGGATTTCGAATTCATAACGAAGGAAAAATACGTTGGATAAGGAAGGTGCCGTTTTGCTGGAGAATGGCCTAATTCTCAAATCGAATACTAATCTATTCCACATTAGTTATCCAAGGTGAATCTCGAAAAAATATTGGTTTTCCAATCATTTTCGAATTATTAACCAAACCAAATGTTTATTGGGTAGTTAACCGACGTTTTATTTTTTTACTTAGTACACTATTTGGGGAGTTTTTTTGCCACCTTAGCGTTTACCTGTAGTATGTGACA